AATTTAATTTAACTAGTTTTCTTGTTAACAATCATAGTTTTAACATACATTCTAAACAATTAATATGTATAAAGTAAAGTTTTACAACTAGAAATTTGATGTATATTGAGGTAATTTTATTATTGTATCGGTACGTGGGAGGGTGGAAGTTGGAAGATCTTCGTTAAGGGTATTTCGCTGAGCTGCTGATCGACAGGGATTCGGGTGTCGTAGAGTGACGGTGCTTGGAATATGATGCCGCACGTTCCTCCGATGCAGGCGAGCGTGAAAACCCAAAGGAAGAATCTGTCGAGGACCATAGAAACGAACTTCCAATCTTCGACGACCTGCGAAAAGTGGAGGGATCGTGTTAGCGATAGATTCGTGGTGATGGTAACAGTTTCACCTCGTTATCTTTGTCGGCGTCTCGGATATGCTGCGCTATAAATCTGACACCCTGAAGAGCTGCGAGGACGCTGGAGGACAAAGCCCTTGGAGTCATCGGAGATGAACCGGTCACTGTAAAATAAGTGTGTAGTGTAGGAAATTGAGACTCTTTATGTGTGTAAATTAGATTTACTCGAGGAGTGAGCCTTCATCTTGTCGTCATCTTGACTGTGGTGCAACACGAAGCTGGGCTCCCTCGTCGTCACCTTAAAATCGGAGGTGAAGGGCTCGCCCATATTCAATCTGCGAATTGATTATGCAAAAAGTGGTAGCAGTTCTTCTGATATATTATACATACTGCATTTCCATTTCGTTAGTGTACCCACGGGGCGGCTGCGAATCGTCGTATTCTGGGAGCGAGTACGTCGTCCTCCTCATGATCAGTATACGCGGCATAAACTGGAGGAAAATCTTCCTTATCAGCGGTGACATTTTATGCGTCGATGGAGACCTGAGCGGGAACGGAAGAGCGTAATCTCTTTTGATTAAAATTTACATATATTTATCGTTCAGACCTGAAGTGCACGTTCAGCACGCACACAGTCACCCAGATCGAGGACGTTACCAGGATCATCGTGAAGAGCAGGTACTTGCCCAGAAGCGGTACAGCTAGAGACGTAGGCGGGATGATCTCGGCGAGCAGCAGGAAGAAGACGGTGAGCGAGAGCAGGATCGATACGCAAAGGGTCACCTTCTCACCGGAATCGGATGGAAGATAGAAGACGAGGACTGTGAGGAAGGTGATTCCGACGCACGGGATTATCAGGTTGACCGTGTAGAATAGTGTCTTCCTTCTCATCGTTATCTTGAACGTTATGTCTTTCGGAGAATTGATGGATTTTCTTTTAGATTTTCATTTGTAGTTTACCTGAGAACGGTTCGGGGCAACAGGGGTAGTACTCTTCGTTTCTCGATGCGGGAACTGCGAGGATGTCCCATTCCACCGACAAGTAAAATTCGGACAGATCTATGCCCACCTTAACGATGTTGCTTCCAGCCTGTTGATCCATATGCTTCAAATCCACCTAAAACAAAGACAAACATATTTGAATCATCAATTTTCTCAATAACCACACAGGACACAATTATGAATAAGCGCGCAAATTAAAGCTCAATTATTGGGCTTTCCAACGACCCATCTGTTATATTTGTAACTATTGCAGATTTCCCATAATTTACTGTTAAAATGATGATAAAATGAACGATGATTCACGGAAATTTCCTAACGCAAAACCATAAAATATAAATATATTAATTAAACAAGTATGTTTCATCATCTTGCATACGAAAATAAATAATGACAAAACCAGTTTTCAATTATGCTTAGTTTAGTTCATTTAATAGCAAAGACAGTTATGTAAATATTTAAACAAAATAATATAATAAACAATAACCCATAGCAACAACTCACTTGTTTGTTGTTTTGTTTTTGTAATAAATGTTAATTTTTATGATGTAATTGTTTAGATAATCGTGAGCGATTAAATAGATGTGATTTACCTGTAATCCATTGTAAGTCCAAGAGCCGAATTTCATGAGACAACTTTGCTCGTCGAAGGGGAAGTACTGGACGTTGATCTCGCATGAGGATTTGTAGATGGAGGGCGGTTTCCAGATGACTTCCCCGGTGTAAGACAGAGTGGCTTTGGTCATTAATGTCACCTCGTAGTTGCCGTCCGCGCTTGAGAACGAAAACGCCACGATTAATTTCACGCCTCGAATAAATCGCACGACATTCTATGTTGGAGAAATCTCAGGACAGGAAAATCATAATCCTCTAAACACAATTGTTGGCAACAATCCTAACTCCGCGGCCTTCGTGGATCGAACTTACTTTTATGGCCAACTATTTTGTTTGCGCGCTCGTATAAGATGAAAAAATAAAAGAAGAGAAGAAGATGGATTGATGAAGCGGAGAGAAAATTGCGAACGTAACATAAAGGTTTCTTTTGCTTTTATGTTTGCTACGTAACACGAAACTTTTTGATTAACTAAATTTAATGCCTGGAAATCGATAGTCACAAACTTTGAATTACACCCCTATCTCTTAAGACCCTTATTAATTAACTGCAACTGTTTAACAAAATCCATCCATGCAAAGACAAAATTTGCAAAGAAATTCAATGCAATTGTGGTAATAAGAGCGAACGTAAAAATAACTTGTTAAGAAGTTTCTCGAAAACTTTAAAGCAAAATTGAAATAGCAACAATAATAATAATAATAATTTGAGATTAGGGATGAGCGGAATTTGCATAATAAAATAAACGGAATGCGGACAGGGATCTTAATTACGTTTTCATCCCTTATCTAATTACAAAAGGGAAGGAAAACGTATATATTGTTAATGTCTCTCCCGTTCATTCTTTTTTCTCTAAGGGTTTTGAAGACGTTGAAGTTTCGCGTTTCATTAATTTCGAGGCGCTAAAGGACGCTTCGAATTGCTAAAAATATATTAATTAAATTAATCAGAAGAGATTGTTACAAAATCCTTCTATTTTTATAACATAATTTTGTTAAATTTCATGAAAATTTATTGAATAAATCTGTTAGTTTGTGTAAGTATGTTAAATTTTATATTTATTTTACTTTTGGTAATGGAAAAAATTACATATTTTCTTCATTTTTTTTCGTAATTAAAGTAAATTTTGAGTAAATATTACAAAAGAGAAGGAAAAAGTATTTATTGTTAATATCTCTCCCGTTCATTCTTTTTTCTCTTTGGGTTTTGAAATATTAATGAAATTAATCAGAAGAGATTGTTTCAAAATCCTAGTGGTTTTATAACATAATTTTGTTAAATTTCATGGAAATTTTTTGAATAAATCTGTTGTTTTGTGTAAGTATCTTTAATTTTATAAAATTGATATTTATTTTACTTTTGTAATGGAAAATATTTAAACATTTTCTTCATTTTTTTGTAATTAAAGTAAATTTTGTGTAAATATTACAAAAGAGAAGGAAAACGTATATATTGTTAATGTCTCTCCTATTCATTCTTTTTCTCTTTGGGTTTTGAAGATGTTGAAGTCTCGCGTTTCGTTAATTTCGAGGGGCTAAAGAACGTTTCGAATTGCTAAAAAAAATTAATGAAATTAATCAGAAAAGATTGTTTCAAAATCTTAGTGTTTTTATAACATAATTTTGTTAAATTTCATGGAAATTTGTTGAATAAATCTGTTAGTTTGTTTAATTTTATAAAATTGATATTTATTTTACTTTTATAATAGAAAGAAATTACATATTTTCTTCATTTTTTCGTAATTAAAGTAAATTTTGAGTAAATATTACAAAAGGGAAGAAAAACGTATATATTGTTAATGTCTCTCCCATTCATTCTTTTTCTCTAAGGGTTTTGAAGACGTTGAAGTCTCGCGTTTCGTTAATTTCGAGGCGATAAAGGACGCTTCGAATTGATAAAAGAAATTAATGAAATTAATCAGAAGAGATTGTTTCAAAATCCTTGTGTTTTTATAACATAATTTTGTTAAATTTTATGGAAATTTGTTGAATAAATCTGTTAGTTTGTTTAATTTTATAAAATTGATATTTATTTTACTTTTGTAATGGAAAACATTATATATTTTCTTTATTTTTTCGTAATTAAAGTAAATTTTGAGTAAATATTACAAAAGAGAAGGAAAACGTATTTATTGTTAATGTCTCTCCCGTTCATTCTTTTTCTCTAAGGGTTTGAAGACGTTGAAGTTTCGCGTTTCGTTAATTTCGAGGCGTTAAAGGACACTTAGAATTGCTAAAAAAATTAATCAAATTAATCAGAAGAGATTATTTCAAAATCCTAGAGTTTTTATAACATAATTTTGTTAAATTTCTTGAATAAATCTGTTAGTTTATGTAAGTATGTTTAATTTTATAAAATTGATATTTATTTTACTTTTGTAATGGAAAAAAAAATACATATTTTCTTCATTTTTTTCGTAATTAATGTAAATTTTGAGTAAATATTACAAAAGAGAAGGAAAACGTATATATTGTTAATGTCTTTCCTGTTCATTCTTTTTCTCTTTGGGTTTTGAAGACGTTGAAGTTTCGCGTTTCGTTAATTTCGAGGCGCTAAAGGACGCTTCGAATTGCTAAAAATATATTAATGAAATTAATCAGAAGATTTTGTTAAATTTCATGGAAATTTGTTGAATCAATTTGTTAGTTTGTTTTAGTCAGCCTTAATTTTATAAAATTGATATTCATTTTACTTTTGGTAATGGAAAAATTTAAACATTTTCTTCATTTTTTCGTAATTAAAGTAAATTTTGAGTAAATATTACAAAAGGGAAGGAAAACGTATTTATTGTTAATGTTTTGAAGTCTTTTTCTCTTTGGGTTTTGAAGAAGTTGAAGTTTCGCGTTTCGTTAATTTCGAGGCGCTAAAGGACGCTTCGAATTGCTAAAAATATATTAATTAAATTAATCAGAAAAGATTGTTTCAAAATCCTAGTGTTTTTATAACATAATTTTGTTAAATTTCATGGAAATCTGTTAGTTTTTGTAAGTTAGTTAGTTTATGTAAGTATGTTTAATTTTATAAAATTGATATTTATTTTACTTTTGTAATGGAAAAAAATTTAAACATTTTCTTCATTTTTTTCGTAATTAAAGTAAATTTTGAGTAAATATTACAAAAGAGAAGGAAAACGTATTTATTGTTAATGTCTCTCCCGTTCATTCTTTTTTCTCTTTGGGTTTTGAAGACGTTGAAGTTTCGCGTTTCGTTAATTTCGAGACATAATTTTGTTAAATTTCATGGAAATTTGTTGAATAAATCTGTTAGTTTATGTAAATATGTTTAATTTATTTTATTTTTACAATGGAATACAAAATTTAAATATTTTCTTCATTTCTTTGGTAATTAAAGTAAATTTTGATTAAATATGAAAAATGTAGTAACTTCAAAATTAATTATTTTTTTAGTGATTTCGATTAATTCTAATTAATAGACTTTAAATAACCAATTTAGCAAATTTTAGTAAACTTAAAAAATAAACACGTTTCATCTTCTTCACCTTTCTTCTCTCTAAAAGTCTTCAAATTAGTGTAAAGACGCAAATTTGTCTACTCGCTAAAAGTTGTGTTGTCTATCAATAAGAACAACAAATAAAAAAAAAAGTGCGATATTTTCTTATTGAAAGTCTTCACGCCATTTTTTCCAGTCATTTTCAAACAGTTTATGTTAATTGAATGCGGTTATAATTACAAAAGTTTGCGAAAATCTACGTATTGAAAAAGTTTTGCACGATCGGCAGATAATTGAAATTCCAATCGTAAACTTCTCGAACCGCCCTGAAAACTTGATCAAAAGCAAAAGCAAAATCCGCAAAGGTTTGCTACAGCTACGTAAATGCTAGAGAACTAATGAGAGTCGGGTCCGGTTGACCCACATAATTAAATTAACTTATTTCAAACTTTCAGTCGTTGCAATTAAAAAAAAATTGTTAATTTGTTTCAGTTAACATATAACTGTAATTTAATTATACTCGAAAATCATGTCTTTGTTTGAGCGCAACTCGATCTTTCTTGAATGTTGCTAGGATATTAAAAAAGTTGTATACTTTTTTTTTGTGTGTGTAACTTCGACCTTTCTTTCTCCCCTTGAGAAAGTAATAATATAATGTGAAAAGTTGGCTCCGATAAATCAAATTGACATCGAATTCTTCGTGAATTTTTCGCGTTTAACAATAATTAATTATGAAAACAAAAAAAAAAGTTTCGTTGCTTTTAAGTGGAAGGATGGGAAGCGACGGATATAAGAAACGATGTAATTATATGAGGACGCTCTTCTCCTCATCCTCGCTATCTCTCCAAGCAAGTTAATAAGGAATTTAAATATTTAATAAGGAAACTTTTAACGTGAAATTAATAATAAATTCCAACTTTTGCCGAGGAATAATTAGCGCACGGCTAATTAGGCCTAAGGGTGGATGAAACCCCTCCAAATTCTATATTTTTTTCATGCTTATCGACCGGTTTTTGTAACCTAATTAGATGGGGATCGTCTCCAGTTTCCAATCAATGGCGAAACTGTATAGGTTTTCATTTGGCTTTCGGCTCGTACTCACTTGTTGAAGAGGACTATGTCGGGTAGCCATATGTGTTCCGATGGGACGTAAAGCATCTCCACCCCTCCGTACTCCTCCGGGTCCCAACGTAATTTATAGTCGTACCATTTCTGGAATAAAACAAGAGGAATACATTAATTGGACAAGACCCAATCATAATTCCAGCTGATGCAGCTAATAACCAACCGAATTGGATCCAAAAAGGCTGGATTCGAACAAATTGATCCATTCTATTCAATAAAGCTGCAATAACAATCTATTTGTAGAATGTAATAATATTAATTGAGATTAAACACAAGAAAAACAATAATCTATTTGTGAGCTAATATCTCAAAAAGTAGAAGAGATAGAATTATGATTCGTTATATTAATTAAAGATAAATTTATAGGTAATAAAATGAGTGTAAATATGTTTTTCTGACCCTCTTAGTTTGCCTGTAATTTAATGTCAAAGTTGAAATAATATTCTTTTTTGCAATTTTCGCAATGTGCTTAGATTTTAGCTTATATCTTGAAAATTAGGATAGATAGAATAATCATTGAACATACTAATTAAAGCTAAAAGTATAGTGAATAAAACAAGTGCATTTTTATGGCATTCTTGATTTTCCTATAATTTTACTGTCAAAATTGAAATTAATAATGTAAATATTACTAGATTTTTGCTTATATCGTGAAAAGTACGATAGTTAAATTAATCATTCAATACAACACTTAAAGCTGGATGTGTTAGGAATAAAAGTTAGTATAAATGTATATTAGTGATAGTTTTGGTTTGTTTGTAATTTATTATCAAAGTTGAAACAATATTTTGTTTGCATTCAAAATTAGTCAATCATCTAGATTTTTGCTTATTCCTTAAAAAGTGGGACAGTTAGAATAATCATTCAATATTCCAATTAAAACTGAATATGTAATGAATAATACGAGTATATTTGGGAGTCTCTTGTTTCGTTTGCAATTTACTGTTGAAATTAAAAAATTAAAAAATTTAGCTTAGTTTTTTTTTGCTTTTATCACAAAATGTATGAATAATAATTCAATACACTAATTAAAGGTAAATAAATAAGGAATATTTTGAGTAAAAACGCATATTTGTTAGGTTATTGGTTTTTCTGTAACTTATTGTCAAAGTTGATAGAATATTTGTTTGAAACATTTGTAAAACTTTACATTTTCGCTTATATCTCAAAAAGTACAATAGGCAGAAGAATCATTGAACATAATAATTAAAGCTAAACGTATAGTGAATAAAACAAGTATACATGCATTTTTATGGCATTCTTGATTTTCCTATAATTTTACTTTCTAAATTGAAATTAATTCTGTCAATGTTACTAGATTTTTGCTTATATCTTGAAAAGTAAGATAGTTAGATTAATAATTCAATACAATACTTAAAGGTGGATGTGTTAGGAATAAAAGTTAATATAAATGTATTTTAGTAACAGTTTTGGTTTGTTTGTAATTTATTATCAAAGTTGAAACAATATTTTGTTTACATTCAAAATTAGTCAATCATCTAGTTTTTTGCTTATACCTTAAAAAGTAGGACAATTAGAATAATCATTCAATATTCCAATTAAAACTGAATATGTAATGAATAATACGGGTATATTTGAGAGTCTCTTGTTTCGTTTGCAATTTACTGTTAAAATTTAAATTTAAAAAATTTAGCTTAGTTTTTTTTTGCTTTTATCACAAAAAGTATGATAGTTACATTAATAATTCAATACACTAATTAAAGGTAAATAAATAAGGAATATTTTGAGTAAAAACGCATATTTGTTAGGCTATTGGTTTTTCTGTAACTTAATGTCAAAGTTGATAGAATATTTGTTTGAAATATTTGTAAAACTTTACATTTTGGCTTATATCTCAAAAAGTATAATAGGTAGAATAATCGTTGAATACACTAATTAAAGCTAAATATTTAGAGAATAAAACGAGTTTGTACGCATATCTGTAACACTGTAGGTTATTTCGTAATTTATCCTCAAAAATTAAAAAAAAAAAGTTAATGCCCTATGAACAACAGATAGTGAGTAAGCAAGTAGTTTAAATAAATCAAAGTAAATAAACAGGATTTAAGGTGGATAAGCTTCAATTTCATAATAACAAGGTTAAAGACCTTTGAACCACAATCACAAAAGAGGTGACAGACCGAATAACGCGGAAGAACAACAGTTGATATTTTTTTTTTAATCAAATTTTATACAAATTCATTTATGAAAAGTTTCATTTAAAATACACGACAATTTCAATAAATTAATTGTAATACATTTGATTGCAAATAATTAACGCGAGTTCGTATTTATTTTCGAGCGCTTTAGCAAATACACAGCGATTTAATTGAAAGCAATAAATAATTAATACGGCGATAATAATAATAGTAGTAAATAAAAATTAGTAATACAGAAAGCAATCATCTCATTACGTTTGTGCAACGCAATGTGCGTACGCTTAAGTGAGCAGAAGCGAATCGATTGTTTCATTTCCTGCGTCCATCAATTATTTTACAAATCCAACAACAATAATAATAACAATAAAAAAAATTGACGTTCCATTACGTAATTGCACTCACGTCGTTTCATAAATACCATTTAATTGAACAACATCGAAAATTGATGGATCATGGACATTTTGCGAAATTATTGATTTTTGTTTTAATGCTAATAAATCGAAAAGATGCATGTGAAAGCTGAATGTTTGGAGAATCTAGCAAGTATCGATATATTTCTATGGTTTTAGCCGTTTGGCTGTAATTCGTGTTCAAATTTTAAAAAATGCTCGAAAAAGCAGTGTTTTTACATTTCATTGATATACTCGAAAACTATAATAGATAGAATAAATCCAAAAGATGCATATGAAAGGTGAATGTTTGGGGAATCTAGCAAGTATCGATATATTTCTATGGTTTTAGCCGTTTGGGTGTAATTCGTGTTCAAATTTAAAAAAATGCTCGAAATAGCAGTGTTTTCACATTTCATTGATTTTTTCAATTTCAATCCCTTCTTTGAACGTATTAAGTAACCAATTATTTATTTTTAGTTCCATCTTCGCAGTTACAAATGTGTAGGAATTTCAGTTTACGGAATCATCATAAGTTGGACGGTGTTTAAATCATATATCCTGCGGTTTGGGTTACGGTAGGAGGGATATGCTCATTGGCGGAACGACGTGTATATTATCATCAGGTTAAATTTTAGTAAATCACGGAATTGTGCTGCGTCCGCCCGAACCCGGCAGATCTATGGAAAACGCATACATTACTAAATCCCATCTCTAAATCCATTAAAATCCCCCGCAAAGCCTAAACAACTCAATATCGCACATTACATTTCATTTTCTATTCATTCATTAATTTAAAACCTTGTCAAATGCCGCACGAATAAATTTGCGTCCGCAGCGAAACCCGAGGGCCTCAACATAATCGCCGCAAATGCGGATAGAATTAAGTATACTAATCGGAACGGCTGTACGGTGAAATATAGAACATAACAAGGATAATAGAATATTAACTATTTATTAACAAAACGATGTTTAACATTTACATCATTTACTTATAGTCATCAAGAAGTAATACTTTTAAACTTTGATTACTTCTTAAAGATTACATTACTAATACTACTAACTTCTTAATTAATCAATTAATATTTTACTCAGCTAAAGATTTAGTCACTTTATATAACTTTTTTTATCAAATTTAATATTTTTTTTAGTATAAATTGACTACATTTTAAATTATGAACTAAATTTTAATCACATTGTTTTGAATCTAAACGTGTATCATTATATAATACACATTGATTGCACAAGAAGCACAACTAGGTGCGAGCAACAGGTGCTTAAACGCACGATACAAACTTATGAAGGTCGTATAAGAAAACACTTTATCATTTTCTAAATGGAAAGAAGTTATTAAAGTCATACAAAAAATTGTTAACTATAATTAATTTTACTATATTTTTATTACATCTACTTAAGAAATATTGTGATGTGAATACGAAAATGTTTTCTATAATTATGAAATAGTTGTAATTTATAATAACTCAATTTTAATTATCTTACGAGGATAGTGAACTAGGATTTATAACAAACGATGTTATATAAATTTAAAAGAAACTGGTCGTTACTTAGTTGATCTGTGAGAATTGGCACAGTAAATTAGGATTTTTCACATCCTTTTTATGTTCGTTTTTTTTTCTGTGTATGCACGAGGAAACAAAACAGCGGAAATGTTTTAATATAGTAAATCCTTGATTCATGATGTCGCCGGGTTGTCACATAAATCAGGACGAGTCCCGAAAGCGAAGGGCCAGGACAAGGGCGAGAGAAAGAGAGTTTGTGTGTACGAGAGAAAGAGATGCGAAGATATGGGGAATTTGTGTTTGCATAAGAGAGAGAGAGAGAAGAAAACTAGTCTTAGCATCCATTGTGTGTGTATGCAGTCCACGAGCAATTAGAATCCGCCGTTTAACACCCTGATGCATGTCCTCGACTATCCAGGCCCTAACAGCTAATGTTATTTATAGTATTTACTACTGTATTATGTTGCTGCTGCTGCTGCTCTCTGCGCCTTGTTCAAGTTTCATTGCTCTCTCCCTGTAAATCTTCCGATGGGACAGGGCATTCCCATTCCTCACGGCACCCCTTTGCGCATACAAAATCGCTCATTAAATCTTCATTTGTCCAATTCATGAAACTTCTTTTTTTTGAGCATGTTTCTTTTTTTTTGGGTGAGTGTACATCTTGCTTACAATATTCAAGCTACGTAACTAATTCACAAGTTGAACATCGACATGCTAAAAGGACAATCCTTTACCACAAGAAAATACAATACAAAATGTACAAAACTTACTAAATACAAAATTTAAATTTTATTTTTTTAAATTTGTATATTCATAAATTTAAATATGTTTGTAACTTTAACAAGAAATAAATAGGTTAACCAATTTTCTAAACAAATATTTAAATAACATTTTCACAACATATTCATAAACTAATATCATTATTAATAAAAGTTAAAATCTAATTTATTGAACATTTTGGAAATTTTTTCAATTTCTATTTTTCATGAAATTCTCTAGATTTGTTTAGAAACAACTGTAATTTTCAA